CAGCAATCGGTGTCCAACAGGGCAAGATCATTGGGATTGGCTCCGTTCAGGTTCAGCAGAACGTTTATTTTGCAACTGTTGGAAGTTTTTTCTTCGCGGTCTTTCATCTGATTGGTCTATATTTTAGGATCTAACGGAATATGCCAATCAGATGAAAGAATTCACTAAGCGCTCAATGAGCAGTTATCGTTTTGAATGCTCATTTAATCAAAACTGTTACGTTAGGTTTCAAAACTATTGTGTTCTGCAATGTGCTGAACGGAACTACTTTCAATAAGCAAAACGGTTTAATCTGGTTTAAAACAAATTATTGGAACATTAGAATATTACTCTTTAAAAGTAGCAAATCTTTAAATATCTATAATAAAGGAGAAAGAAGTATTGATAATTATTTAGAATATGGTCCTTCTCTCTGATTTTAATAAAATTAGACTCATTCGACACATTTTTGCACAAAACGAAAGAATCTGAAAGAAAAAAACCTTAAGCTCCGCGAACCGAGATGTTAGATGTTAAAGTTGACAATTATAGAGGTTAGGAAATCCGTCATATCGACGAGATGCAGCGACACGATGAGATGTACGAACAAATTCTCTGCTTGACAAACAATTTGTTCGACGACAAGTAGTCAATTTTAACACTTAATATCTCGGTTCGCGCGGCCTAAGTTTTTTCTTACAGATTTTTTCGTTTTGTGCAAAAACGCATCGAATGAGTCGAATTTTTTCAAAATCAGAGAGGATTGTATTCTAAATAATTACCGAAGTAACCGACTAATTATCATTAATATGTATTTGTTCTCCTGCAGTTTAAATGGTTCATAAGAATATCAAGTATGAATTATTTTAGCGAGTTGCATCAATTATCGGGTAAGTGATATATTTTTATTTTTAGAAAGTTGAAATAGAGAGAGAGAGAGAGAGAGAGAGAGATATGTAATTAAAGAAATTATTGATAAAGGTTCACAATACCATTACAGTCATTTCAAATTTTGATAAAAACAGACTCAATCGATGCGTTTTCGCATGAAAACAAAGAATATAATAAAATAAAATTCTATAAAAAAAAAGCGTCGCTCTGCTTCACGAACTGAGATATTAAGCGTTAAAGTTGACGATTATTGAGGTTAGGAAATCTGTCACGAAATAGTATGATGCAAGCACGCGTTGCGATTCAAATTCGCTACTTTAAAACAAATTCTCTGTTCTAAAACATAGTTTTACGATTTTGACACAAAAATGAACAATAAAGCCTATTCTACAATGTGCTCTTTGTTTCCAGTTTCTTGTTTTTTTACTTTGTACTTTTAACTCCTTTGCAATTATCGACAATTGTATTTCTTGTTTCTTTCGAAGTTCGTTAACTCTTATTTCAGGCGATATAAAACAAAAAATCGAAGCAAAAAGACAAGATGTAAAAAATAGCAAAAAGCAAGAAATTGGAAACAAAAAGCACATTGTAGAACAGGCTTAACTGCGATCACATTGGTGAGTGTTTTATGAGATGATGTTGCTTTTTACAGAATTTAAAAAAGATAATTTTTTTCAAAGAATTTTATTTGTATTTATTTATCTATTGGTGAACGAATTTGTTTTTTTTTTTAATTAGAACATCATGAAATTCCTAACAATCGGTCATCAAATTGTTTGTGAATAATTGACGTTATACATGAAGTATTCATCAGGATCACTACATACTGGAACATATTCCATCACGATTTTTATGTTTCTGACGATGGTAACTAATTCAAAATGTGAATATGATAATATCTGAAAATGGCTCAATCTAGGAGCCAAAACATGTAATGATATTTCTGTTTCTATTATGTATGTATTTAGTTCCTATTAAGAATTTTTTATACTTTACATTTTAAATAATTGGCTCTTATGTGCCCTTTTTATCGTTATATTATTAATGTTATTAAAATTTGAGGTATTGTGAACATTTACCAAATTATTAAATTTAATTAATAAATTTTACAGTTATTAAAAGTATACATTGCGGACATAAAGAACCATTTATAAATATCATACTTTTCATAGTTTTCCTTTGTTTTTTCAGATATTTCCAGTATTTCTACAATCTCCCAATCCAGTGGCAGATTAATTGATAGAGTAAATTCATCGCAAAGTTTATTAGACAATTATTCCGGTACTATAAGAAGTAACAATAAGTTTGTGATAACCCAGGAAACAACTGCAATCGAAAAAACAATAAAGTTGTTAGTATTATGTGAAGAAAGTATAAATGAACATATCAAAATTAACATTATCTATCAGTGTATAAAGAGAGCATCTTTGAATCCCAAAGATATTTTTTCTAAAAGCACAGCTAACAAATTACAAATGTTGCTTTCAATTCATGAGCTGGATAAGTATATACATCTTCCTTCAGCAACAAAATATATGCAAGATAAATTGATACTTTTGGGAATTTGTGATTTACCATCATGTCACTTAAATTCCGATGAAAAATTAGAAGTGAAATGCTGCATCGAAACAATGTTACGAGAAATAATACATGATACGATACTGAAGTAAGTGTTTTGTAATTTTATATATAAAAAAATTTTAATAAGAGTATATACTAAGTTCTGTAACAATATTAACTTATATGATGATTAATAAAATATCTTAATATCTATATGTTGTAAGATATGAAGCCTTAGGAGGAAATATTAAGGAAACATCAAAGAACGACTGCAAGACACATAATAAATTCTTCGAATATTACGATGTGCCAACAGTACAATGGAAAAATAAAATTGAGGATTTGATTCTGCAATGTGAAAATGACTTGCTGAAATATATATACTTAATGGGCAAGTGGAATAAGCTGAAATATGAAGATATGAACCAAGCATATTTAGAAAAGACAAGCTATTTATTGCTGCAAGCACAAGTTGCAGAGTTGCAAGCAAAGATAACAAAACTTTCTTGCACAATCAGAATGTTCAAAGAAACTTCAACTACCATTGATGCTTTTAAAATGTTACATCAATTAGTTGAAAAGAAATTAAAAATGGTTACAGATGAAATTCGTCAGAAGGAAGATTTAAAGAAGCTGTATGACAATATGAAGGATACAGAATATGATCAGGTATTATTGATCTATTCACAGCTCTGCAATGCAATAAAGAAGAAAAAACATATCTTGGATATGTTGAAATAGTTTTATAAATAAATTATAAGATTTAATAATCAAAACAATAAGTACACACACACACACACACACACACACACACACACACACAACACATCTGGCTCAAAAGTAAATATATTTTGCATTTATATTTTATTGAATAAACTCTTGATAAATATTGTATGATATAAGTGTTTGTGTTATTAAGTAAGTTTTTTTTTGATTTATTAAAATATATTAATGAACTATCTTAAACAGAATAATTTTTTATTCGCTATCGGAAATCCTATTGTCATTCTTCAAAACAATAAGAGGTCTGCAATTTTTGTCAGCGAGAATTCCATGTTCGATAAGGAATGCTTCCACGTCCGATGAATAAAAATCTACTCCTAAATGATCCGTAACATGAATGAAGTTTCCTATTACTTGTCCATTTTTGTACACCAGCAATGTTGGTACACCAAATTTTTTGAACTGTTTGCTGAGACCTGCAATTGAGCCTAAAAAAAATTTTTTTAAATATATGAAAAAATAATTTGTTAATAATTTGTTTGTAATTTGTTGTTGGTCAGAAAGTTAGTGCCATTTTTTTAGTACAAAATTGTATCTTACAATATATATCTTTATAAAAAATATCTTTATAAATTATATCTTTATAATATCTTTATAAATTAAATTTAAATTAAAAAAAGAAAGAATGTTGAAGCTTGAAATCTACTTTCGAAAGGTTACCGTGTTTTTTGAGTTTCTGTGAATTTTAGTAATTTTTATATACAGAAAATTACAAGTTATAAAAGATGGACAATTTTTTTTTAACTTTGGATCTATCATTTATCCAAAAAAATTTGCAAAAATTTTCGGCTTGCCAATGAAAACTTAGTTTTCTACAAAATCGTTTTTTAAAAATATTCTTAAGATTTTTTGTTATTAAGTTATCGCGAATTAAATAAAAGGAACATTTTGACTTTGATTGCTCATAACGTCGTTAAAAATCGTACAATTTAAAAAAAATATTTTTTAAGCTAAAATTTGTTCTATTGAATGATGTAATAACAAATATATTTTATAATTTTGAACTAAAAAAAATGGTACGAACTTTTTGATCAATTCAATATTTGAATTATATGAAATTTTTTTTCTGAAATTTTGAAAAATATTGATATAAAAAAATTTTAAACATTTTATTCTAAAATTAGCTCTGTTTAAAGATGAATAAGAATAAAAGATCTTACTGTTTACTGACAAAGTGAAACTAAATTATATAACCATTTAAAATA